GGGAGGCCAGGAGGTGGGGTGGGAAGTGTGTGGAAAGTTGAAAACAGTGAAACACGAAGGAAAAAAAAAATTGCAAACTGTATCTTGCCCCATAGTGCAATTATAACTCGTCTTTGTGACACTACAGAAGTTACCCCAATTATATAAGTCGGTTGCGTGTGATGTGTGGAAGAGTGCTGGCCTTGGACACTGCTGTCATTCGATGGGGCGAGGGGGCAAGGAAAGGGGGCGCTATTTTCCAAAAAACAAAAACAAAAAGGAAAGGGGGGGTGCAGCTATGGCAAATGCTTAGTCTTTGTGTCAGCCAAACCCAACCACCCCCAGGGCGTTCTTGCCCCATCCCTCACGACTGAGGACAGGGGGCAACATGATCCCTCTAAGTTTGTGAGGCCCTAGTATGCTTGCAGGGGTCCCTTCGATGTAGCCTTATGAGTAGTGGTAGCATGGTAGGAAGGTACTAGGTAGTGAAAGGTAAGACAATTTGAGAGAAGAATATAGTGTAGTTGACAAAAAGAAAAACGTTCCTGAGCATTTCCATAAGTATTCAGGTAATGTTTGAAGTTCAAAACCTCGAAAATCCTAATGCTTACATCAAAGGATCCCATCCAACCGGAATTGGGACCATGCCCTACTTGGGGAGGTTTAGTTCCGGTATCGAGCATTATGCATTGTGGTCACACAGTGGCAAGAGATTTAAGACTGCATGAGAGGGACTTCTGGATACTCAAAACCAGAACTAAACCTACTCAAATGGGGCATGGGCCCGGGTCCATTATCCCTCTGACTACTTCCCGTTATGATGTTTCTTCCTCTACCCCTCTTAAAGATGGGCATACCCCCTAAATCCAGTCCAAGCACCGGCTCACATCTATACCCGGATCGACCGGAGAAAATTATTTGCATGCCCAGGACTGAGGTGCACCCAGGTTTGAGCCGCAAAATTGCTGACATAACCAAGTACCGGAATGCACAAATTATGCACATACCTTGACAAAGTTACTGGTACACCAGAGACTGAAGTGGACCAGGCAAATTATTCATATACCCTTTTTTTTTCTTTTTTTCTTTTTTAAATAGAGAAAACGGGCCCAGTGCCCAAGGCTGATATTACCAATAAGAAGATTGAGGCCGGGGTCCTTACAGTCTGCCCAAAGTGACCGAACCGAACATGTCAAAAACCGGGCTCAACGTCCCTCATATGATGATGATGATGATGATGATGATGATGAACATCTGTTGATTCTATGTAAAACTGTGAGATAATAATACTAATGATGATGATGATGATTAGTATGTAAAAAATACAGAAGACTATGTTATATCGGCAATTCTGGCCTCCTAATCCCAGAACAACTCCTACACCTCCCTGTACCAGAACGTTACATCTTAGAGACAATGCAATCCTAACCAACGTAAACCATAGCTGACTTGTTCTCGCCACCTAGACTATCCCTAGACCCATAGGTTGTCTAAGCAGCTCCCCCCAGTTCGTCGTTGGATTGCCTTCTTCCCTCAGCAAATCCTCAGATCTCTCTACAAGGCCTCACACTCCTACCATTTGCAGGTTACAAGGCAACGCCCCAACTCAGGCCAGCGTCATTCTGGCACCGGCAAACCAGGGGCACAGAACAAAGCAACTTTGCAGATATCAATCCATTTTTTACCATCTCGGAAATCCTATATCCCGAATGAGGAAGAAGACTATATGCCGCCAAGCATTACAAAACATCAGAAAGCTTGATATAACATGATTAAAAACTACGGAATTCTAAAGCACCTGTTATGTGAAGATAAATCTACCCCCTTCCCTACTTCGCACCCTGTCCCAACATTGTCTTCACCGGAATGGATTACCCAGCTTGTAGGAATCCCATCTCTGCCCCAACTTTGGACAGTTCCACATTCCCCCCCCTTATCGCACAAACGCATGCAGTTCCCTCCCAAAGTATGCCTCTGCCCACCTTTTACCCTAATCTGCCCCCGCTGGGATGTGTACCCCCACGCCTATGTATCCCCCCCGGCGGCGGACAGGCGCGGCCAAGTCCGCGGACGTGTCCGCGCGGACGCGTGGATTCACAAACACGTGGCGGCCGCAGGGGAGGGGGTTTCACAAATCTGGCGGCGCCACGTGGCGACGCATCCCCTGCCCCACCCCCCCCCACAAAAATAAAACGAAAAAGATGAACTTTTGGTGGGGGGGGTATGGGCGAAAT